CTGTGCGATTTCGAGACTTTCACGCATTTCCACGCACACAATCAAGATCGCCAATCTTTATCCGGATCCGGATCGGTACCAAAGCATGGCATGCAATACCGGTAGGACACTGGGCTCTTGGGCGTCTGTTTCACGTGACGACCCGACATGACGAGCTCGCGCATCTAGGGACGCCCCCAGGCACATTACCATATCCGAAGGAGCTCACTGCCAATATATCCATTCGTCGGATCGGCGGACCTCGTCTCATTGACGGCATTTTGTATGAAGGCTGTCGCATCTTCGCCGCTAATTTTGGCGCCAGCACGAGGCACTTGACAAAGTCGAAGACAGCTATGTGGCTCCGCGGCATCGTCTCGAGCTACCTCACGCGCCGCTACTTGACGACGAGCGGCGATGCGAGCACGGCGCACACAGACGCGAGCAAGCCGGCGACGCACCACGGCGAAACCAAGGACAAGACGGCGCGATACCGCATGTGGTACCGCATTCTGTCTAATCTCATGGCAGCGCTCCTCATTTGCCTCTCTCTGCTCATGCTCGGCATCGTCATTGGCCAAGGCACCTTTCACCGTGAAGTGGTCCAATACCACGCCCAAGACGAGAGCATATACTGGAACGACTTTGGCGCCAACTGTCTCTTGCGCTCCGGCGGGTTTGTGCCCCACTCGTGCGCCGTGGACGAAACCAACATCACGGGCACGATCGAAGCGTGGGACGGCTTTGGTGTCGCCCTCGCGGCAGCGCTCGATGTGCCACCACAAGCAACGTATTCTGTGTCAACCTGCTGGATGGGCGCGACGCCAGCGATCGGCTGGGCGTCCTTCCAGGTCGTCGTCGGCTACGACTACTTTCCCGCATGCAATCCCACCAACGGATCGCAACTGGTTGCGGGCGTCGCGATGCTCGAGACCGCAGCCCGCCCCGGGTTCCCGCTCGGCGTCTACCTCCTCACGGCGTTCTCGGACGTCCGCATGAACACATCGTACTCGTACGTGGGCTCGGACGGCGTGGTGACGCCGATCGTAGCTGGGCTTTCCCACACAATCATCACGCCCAACGGCAGCGTCTACGCGGATGACATTGGCATGAACTCGATCATTACGTCCCACCCGCTCGGGCCCCGGTACGCAATCGTCTCGTACAACAATGGTCAGATCCTCAACATGACTCCGTACCTTGGCACACTCAAGGGCTGGTGCACGGGCCGCGACTCCAAGCTACCGATCTTAACGGGTTGGTTTGTCGGTCATACAGTCATGAACGGCGACGAACTACTCGCACTGCAGCTTCTCTTTTCGGCCCTGAGCATCTACTTGTTCGCGGGCGACGTCTACATGACAATCGAAGGACTCAAAGGCGTCCTGCGCAACAAGCCCGTCTTGACGTACGACGTGCTCTCAGGTCTCGAACGTCGCAAGCTGCTCATGCTCTGCATCACGCTCAACTCGATGCCGTCCATCTTGTACATTGACGTGGCGCGCATCTACTATGGCACCGACTCGGGACTCAAAATCTGGGTTATTGCCACCGTCTCGCTGAGCATCTTTGCGGCCTTTATGGGCTTCCTCGCCATGACGCTGCTCCAATACCTTCCCGCGGCGCCCAAGCTACGCTACAAGCTTATCTCGTTCTCAGCGCCGCTCTTTCTCTACGGCAGCATCGGATTTGTGGCGGGCAACATTGAAAGCCAGATGCAAACACTCAACCTCCAGTTCAATAGCGGCGCGTTCAACCTCGCGTTCTACGCCCGCGGTACGTTTTGGGCGTCCGGCGCCTACGGCGAAGCGGGTGTACCGACAGCGATTGGTCAGCTGCTCCCGCGCATGTGGCCGCCAGTGCTGTGGGCGCTGCTGATCGCGACCGTGTACTCCAAGCTCATGCGGTTTCTCGAAGGCCGCCCGCTACTGGTTCACATTGAGTGGGCGGCGACCAATGATTTTCTCAGTGCGTGTGGTCTGCCAAAGTACATTTCAAGCATGCCACTGGGGCAGCACCAAGGCATCAAGATTGGCAACCGCACGTTCTGCAAGCCGAGTACGCAAGTGCTCTTTGGGTATGCGAGCGTCGTGCCCGTGGTCTCGAGCAAGAAGGTACTCGTCGCCGACCCGAAGAAGGAGGACCCTGAAATCGAGCTCGTGAGAGTCTACGATTTGGTCTGGGCTGTCTTTGGCTCTCTCTGCTCCTTTCGACCCGCCCGCGTCGGGTCCAACATACGCAATCATTTTA